CCCCAAAACCCCAAAACCCCACCTCATTCAATATTTAGAGTTACATAATGTAGGGTGAGTTTTTTATGAAATTAATATATAGTTGATTTGTATTGATTATCGATTGATTTATCAATACATTGAAAGATGCATATTTCATCTGAGTTCTAATTTAAATCCAACAAAAGTCTTAAGATCAATCATAATTTCCGAACCTTGTTGGCTTAACTGGCTGTTCTTAAAGTTTCTTAATGAATAGATAAGCTTCATTTAAGACACTATCTATTTTATAAGAGAATTCAGTGTAGTCTTTTAGATATTTGCTGCCCAAACCCTCGATTCGTTTAATCTTTTACTGGTGTATGCTAGCAGATCTCTTTTTCAATTTATCTCTTTTCGAAACAGACATAGTTGAAAACTAAGGATTGTATTTGGATTCAATTCGAGCAACTTCTTATTCAATCACAGGCAATTAACTCAATCTTTTAAATCTCATTCTTCTATCTACTTCTGCATGCACTTCTGAATCGTTAGCACATCCAGATTATTGAAACTCCATCGTGACTAGTTGCTTTTCTAAATTATGAGCTCTTTTCACTTTTTTCATTAAGATCTTCTTAATATCATCCTTATCCTTTACAGTGTCTCCTTCAAGATCAAAATACCTCTTGATAATCTTTTAATTGGCAGGCTTTGTGAACTTAAATGATTGCATTTAACTTTTGATATCTGGCAATTAAGAGTAGGGATTAGAGTGAATGATGTGGTCATCTTTATCTATTTATTAAATTCTCCACTCTCGATTGCTTATAAATCCATTCAACTAGGAATCTCTGTTTTGCTTTCTATTGATCGTTGAAAACTTACACGAAGACTCATTCTTATAGATAAAATTATCTTTCATAAGGTAAGGTTTATTATGAAAGGATAACTATGACTGACTATTGGATATATTGTTACTAGAACGATTGAAATCTGGAAGAGACTGAACCCTTTACATTTTAAATAAATATAATTTGTTTTTTTTCTATCAAAATTATGATTATTGGCATCAGGGGTTTTGGGGTTTTGGGG